ATTATTAATGATACAGCAATTATGATTATGTAATAGGTACTGGCCTAGACTTTTAAATATTGAGCAGCAGAACCCGTGCAGAGACACCACATTTTTACATTTTCTGCAGCATTTTGCAGTAGCGTGGGGGTCCTGGTCATATATCCTTGCTGATACTTGGCTAGGTAAAGCATTCGTATCCCATCAGAACTGACTACAGTGAACATAGAGATGGTATCTGCTGAGTCCATTCACTGTCAGGCTTTGGGTAAATTCACAACAAAAACGGAAGAACTAAGGGAAGGGTCACTTTACGCAGACATCGTTTTAAATCCTGTCTGATTTGACAAGAAGTATAAAAAAGTACGAAAGGATGGCATCCTCATTGATGTCACTTAAGATGGATCAGCAATGGAGATCCTCAGACTGTGGTGCCGCTGTGTTTTCCAAATGGAACAGCTGGCTCTGGGGTGTACGCTGCGTTTGCTGTTTACTAACGCGGAGGCTTTAGTGGATTCTGAGTTACACAACTCGCTGATGAATCAAGCACTCTGGTGGATCCTTTTTTTTTATTTTTAATATTTTATTATTATGTGTGTTATGAGTGTGTAAGAGAGAGAGAGAGGTCAAAGGACAACTTGGTAGAGTCGGCTCTCTTTCTACCTTAACCTAAGTTCTAAGAATCAGCCCCTGGTCATGTGTGTGTGGCAAGCATTTCATCCACTGAGCCATCTCTGGCATTTTAAACAAAGTGGCTGAGCCAGTCAGAACAGCCATCTATGCCGGCGTAGGTGCTCCTGCTTTCTGCTACCGTGGGCAAAGCCAAACTCCCACTACATGAACATCCTGTGAAGTCGGGGCATGGTCTGCAAAACACAAGTATGGCCATGCTTGGAGTAGGCTTAGGCAAGGGAAGGAAATCTAAAAGGACCAACATTTTTCAAATGGCACGCCCAGCTGCTGAATCAGCAGGAACGTAATTTATGCTAGTAAGTCCTTGGATTTCAAAGTGATCCTACCATACAGAACCCTTGCCCTTTCTTCTCTTTTCTTCTCTTCTCTTTTCGTTTCTCTTCTCTTCTCTTCTTTCTTTTTCTATTTATTTATTTATTTATTTATTTATTTATTTATTTATTTATTTATTAAAGATTTCTGTCTCTTCCCCACCGCCGCCTCCCCTTTCCCTCCCCCTCCCCCAATCAAGTCCCCCT